CACCAACAGCAACACGGGAGCTTCTGCTTCAGGTAGTACCTCTCAGGTTGGCGGGACCATTACAGGTAATACCTATTCCTCCCCTTCTACAAAATCTACAGCACCCATTAGCGGATTAATCCAATCTGGCGACCATTTCCAAGGCACTCAAGGTGCTATAAACCCATCTAATATCCACAGTTCAACTTCAGCAGCAGGTTCATTTACTACCGCTGGTAATACTGGATCCTTCCAGTCAGGTGGTATCTCTACGGGTTCACAGTTCACAGTAACCACTGCAGGTAATGACAATCAGCCATCTGGTTTGTACTCAACCCCGTAAATGTGTAAATCAAATCATCCACCGATATTTCAACGTATCTTGTGATTGTCTTCAGTCTGGGTTGTTTTAATATGCGTCCTGTATGAGGTATCAGTATTTTTTCATGTGATGTACAAAATAGATAAAAGAATTTTCAAATGACTTTCAGTATTTTTCTAATGAGAATATCCTCAATTTGTAGATAAATAAACGTAACAAACGTATGTCTATACCTATGCATTCATACACACATTAATTCTCGCACACACACATACATACACATATATGTATATATATATATATATTTTTTTTTTCATATATATATATATATATATATATATATATATGTATGTATGTATATATATATATACATACACATATATATGTATATATTCACACACACATATATATATCTATAAATATGTGTGTGTGTGCGTGCGTGATATATATATGTGCATATATATGAATGTATGTATGCACGTATGTATGGATGTTGCACATACATATATATATAAGTGTGTGTGTGAATGTATGCAGGAATGTACTTATATTTTTAAAAGCAAATAAGTCTGTATGTATGTATATACTTGTATACTTAGGCAACTTGATACATATATGTATGAGTGTGTCTACATCTGTACTTTTTTTCTCTCGAAATTCCAAAATTTTAAGAAACTGTTCGGCGTCTTGTCTTAGATATGTTTTAAATTCACATATTGTGTAGCATAATATCTTTCACGGACAAAATATGCATTTATACACATTAATACTCGCACACACACATATTGATATATATATATATATATATATATATGTGTGTGTGTGTGTGTGTGTGTGTGTATGTGTGTGTATATATATACATACCCATATATATGTATATATTCACACAAACACACTTATATATATTTATAAATATGTGTGTGTGCGTGCGCCATATATATACTTATGTACATATATATGCATGTATGTATGCACGTATGTATGGATGTTGCATCTATATATATAAGTGTGTGTGAATGTATGCATGAATGTATTTATATTTTTAAATGCAAATACGTCGGTGTGTATGTATATACTTTAAACTTAGGCAACTGGATAGATATATGAATGAGTATATCTACATCTGTACTTTTTTCTCGAAATTGCAAAATTTTAAGAAACTGGTCGGATTCTTTGTCTTAGATATGTTTCAAATTCACATATTGTGTAGCATAATATTCCGATCAGACAAGTGTCAAAATTATATAAAATGCCAAAATTAGACATTTATAACATTCTTATTTCAGTATAAAAAAAAAAAAAGATATTTGCCTGATTTATAAACAAAAAAATTGGGATTTAGAATAACACTTTTGATACTTTCACCTTTGCCCTTTTATTGATATATGATGTTATTAGGCTAATTATTATGCTCGCAATCTGTTCTTCCAGAAGATTACAAACTAGCAAAATAAAGCATATAACATAAATAATGTTAATGATATTGATTAATTTTTTTACTCTAAACGTGACGAAATTTATCTACTTTTTATTCATCTTTCTCTGTGTTATTACAGAGATTTTTTTCTCATCCCGCACTTGGAAAAGAAACGGGGAAGGGGTCAAGTTTCAGAAGTTAAAAAAAATATATTTTGTATTAAATGTATATATATGTGTGTGTACATACATATATGTATATATATACATACAAACGCTCATACACACGCACACGCACACACACACATACACATATATATATATATATATATATATATATATATATATACATATATACATATATATATATATATATATATATATATATATATATATGTATATATGTATATATGTATATATATGTATGTATGTATATATGTGTGTGTATATATACGTATATATATATATATATATATATATATATATATATATATATATATACGTATATATACACACACATATATACATACATACATATATATACATATTTACATATATATATATATATATATATATATATATATATATATATATATGTATATATATATGTATATGTATATATATGCATGTATATATTTATAAATATGTATGTATGTATATATGTGTGTGTATATATACGTATATATATATATATATATATATATATATATATATATATATATATATACATATACGTGTGTGTGTGTGTGTGTGTACATATATATATATATATATATATATATA